AACAAAAAGCCTAGTGCTTTCTCGTTCTCCTGCCCGTTGCTCTCTACAGATTAACGACAGGCACTGGAGCAGCTGGAGAAGTTCAAGTGCGTCAGAGTCGTACGTACTACTGACGGAATATTTGAGGAAGGGATAGACCGGTGAAATGGGGTAGCCAGTAGCGTGTCGCGTGAACTAGCCCGAACCGTTACGACTAAGCCAGAGCTGAGTCTGAGGACTAAGCTCTAGGTATTCAAGTCGATCTTTGCCCCATGATTACATACGGTCATGGACCATGACTGAAAAACTTCGATCCCTGTACAAGCTGCTGAAATCGGCTTTCTTTTATAAGTCCCTGACCTACGCGTCTTGTCATAGTGCAGAATATTTTTATCAGGGAGAGCCTCAGTGCACTTCCTTTGCTTCTTCAGATTGAGAAGTGACAGCAGCGATGATTTGGCCATATGTTGCGAATGCCTCAGAAAGGAAGGCTAAGCAACTGTTTCTCGCGAATCCTAGCGGCAGAAGGTCAACATCGGACGGCCAAGATTAACCTGGTGCAAATATATGGAATGTGTCCATTCGAGACTCCAGTTGTCTTCTGCCAAACTCAGACTCTGGCACAGGATCGGGAACGTTGGAAGCTCTGTGTGACGTGTCTGCCTCCGCGACCCGAAAGGAGAAGCAGTGATAGAAGATGAAGTTGATGATTTAATATCTTTTTTCGAAATTGTCTCCGTGTTTCGTTTGCCTAGGCCTTGTATCTCAACTTCTGTTTTTCTTTCTGCGGAAATATGCATGGACTGTTGCATATTTTCTTTGAGAGTCAATAATGCTCACTGTTGTGTGAAATCCTTGCGGCAAAATGAATAGTTCGATTACCGTTTTTATGACATGATTGCTTTACAATATGCAGGAACTCTGTCATGCCCTGCTTACCATTGCTCAGAAAGTAATCATTTAGTGTTCCAAAAGTGCTTGACATCGAAATGAATCATGAGTTCTTAGCTGTACGTTGTTCAGTCTTGTATTTAGTTGTAATCTGTTCTGGGGAATATTCAGGTCTCATTAGAAATTGAATAACCTCTGTTTTTTGTAAAAGCGAAGAAATTATTTTATGAGTGAACGCTTGAAGTATACCCGGTTCGGTAAATAGGGAACCAGCTATTAGCAAATGTCAAAGCAATGTTGTAATATACACATGGTTTCTCCAACATCAGATTTAGTTGCGCTCTTTGCTCACAGTATCATATGGAAGATGTATTTAAACAGGCTCCGACTCCATCGTATTTTAACACCTCCACCTGGTGTTCATAACAATCGACGTTTCCAAGGTTGAATATCGCTGCATGCTACCGTAGAAACATCATGAACATAAATATATTCGCACACCGGAGAATCTCAAATGATTTTATTTCTATTTTTAAGTTTCCTGCTTTGGGTGAAATGGAAAATCGAATCTTAAACTTATAAATGAATGAAAGGAAACAAATGCAAATGAAGTGGTAGCGAAAAGAAAGTGAACAAACAAATTTGTGCAAAAATTTATTTCGATCGGCTTATTAGATAGTTTCTTTTCTGAGAGCCTGATTGCCAGTAATAGCCGTTATTGCGTGTGCATTTCGAAATCACGCGCTGGAATCCATAACTAATCTACTTTTCTTCTTGAACTGCTAATGGCTGTCAAATATCCTATAATATAGTCAATAATTAGTAAAGTAATAGTCACTAAAGTAAACGATCAAGCCAGTAATTCTCTGCCGATTGATCTTTCATAACGAGTGAAATGGTGTCATAGTGTTCTCTTTCCGATATTACCTGGAAATCAATTGCAATGACGGTCGCAAGAAATTTTTGCACGTGATTTCTCTCTCGAGAATGTTTCTTGTTAAATTTTCTCGCTCTAGGAATATTTGCGTATTTATATGTAGGCAGCATTATTTGACGACATTGAAGCGAGTGGAGCGACTCTGTTTTTATTGTTTCTGCCTTTGTGTCTGATAAAACATGTTTGTAAATAGAACTGCAATGTACATGAAGAAAATGAAGATGAATTTACTACTTGAAAAGTAGCTATGCGGAGTATATAATATTGTGTAAAGTTTGTCGCCTTCTGGAATATGATTAATTAAACAGTGTGCCATGAATTAAACGATACATCTTCCGTACAGTTCTTTACGGATTGGTGTCCATCGACATTTGATCGTGCACACAGTTCGAAATAAGACGTTTAATGGGTAGGTGGCTGACATTATGTATGATCGTTCTAGCAAGTTATGGTATGTCTGATCACGGAATTTTGCTGAAGTTTCGCAATGTGTCACACAAAATGCAATGCCCCACCTATCAGATTGAAGGCGGCTTCGGTCGTGCCTGAAAAGGTCACTCCTACCTACGTGATTGATCAGAGGCAACAGGCATGCTTCGGCAAATCTTTGCTCAAATGTTGTTAGTACAACGGCGTTTATCATTCGGCAGCGTTAGGGAATCTCTAATCTTCATAAAAACAACCATTTTGCGCGCTGGTTATTTTAAGCTTGAGGACAAAATGACGCCTAGGTATTTGACCTCACCCATTATCTTCAGGATTTGACCGGTAATACGTAACGTTCTTGTACTGTGTGTTTGAGCGTCATTCTCTGAGTATTCCGCATTAAAATTCAGCATTCAGCTGACTTAGAATGGTTTATAATCAGATCAAAGATCAGACGCCACATGTATGAAGTGTATTTTCGTAAGCTTCCATATTCTGTCTTTCTGATCGGTGTGGTGATGGACGTATTGCCAGCAGATTTTACGCGGATAATCAGTGCGATACTAACTGATATACAGATTGAACAGTAGTGATAAGATGAATGAGTCCTGC